AGGTTGCCTGCAGTCCTATGCTGGTTGTGAAAATGAACTCTAAATTCTGGTACGACCATTAGGGAAACTGCTCGGCTCGTACAAGAATGAATATTTGCGTATTAAAATCAACCTAAACAATAAGTTAAACAAAACAGTTGTCTATCGGCGACCAGATCGCCCACTAGCTAGCCGGTAAACGACTTCGTCGCCGGTCAGGACACTATTTGAGTCTGTCTACTTTGATCGCATTATTACTGCAAGAGATTTTTTTTTCCCTAGAGCTACTTGATGGCGAGCAAGGCTAAGCACATAAATATATAACATAATCTGGTCACAATTATATACCAGTTATAACTTCGGGGATGATGGTTGATCATGACGATTTATTTTTCTCGCAAAACAAACCCTTCCCCCCCCCCCCTTTTTTTCCCCCTTCAAAAAAACTGTCTAATACAATAGAGTCACTAGTGAAAAAAAATTAATGCACACTGCTAAAAGGTCACATTATAATGTAACAACAGACAATTGCATAAAGTTATGTTCGTTGTTAATTCCCGATATTGAATACATTTAATAAGCCTAGTTCCTAGAGCCATCCGTAGAATGTAAAGATGATTCCACCATAATTTCCGTGAGCGTCCTATGAGGCCCTATTAGGGAAAATGGAAAGGATAAGGATAGACCCACTGCCTCTTTAGAAGCATGCCGTAAAGGCGGCATATAATTAGTTTCATTAAATACTATGCGGGAGCCGCCGTGATGTAGTGGCTAGACACCGGCTTGCGGATTGGAAGGTCGTGGATTCAGGTCCTGACAGAGCTGCGCTTTTCTCAGAAAATGATCGTGGCTCCCGGGTCGACCCAAGCCTTAAATGGGTAGGAGGTGAAGTCCTGTGAAGTCAAGGCGGCCGGCGTCATATTGACTACATCACCCACCGAGTGCCGTTTGGTCTGTAGAACAGAGCTCTGGTACTTTATGCCCGATACGTTTGAAGGTATTGAAAGCGTCCCTTTACTTCACTTTAAATTCTTTTGTCAAAATCTGCTTGTGCCGCTAGGCGTCGCAGTCTATCAGATGATCGGCAACCGAGCCAGGGCGCGCTCAGTCGCTTCATATGCGACTTTAAATACGATGTGTTAAACCGAAGGGCCCAGTTAGCACGGTCTACCTGCAAATCATATCACAACTTTACAACCGCCTTTGCTAAAGCGCAAGAAGGAGAGAAAGGAGAAGAAGAAAGAGAAACAGAAGAAAAAAATGATTTCTCCACAGCACTAAGCGGAAATGACGTTGTAAGTTATTGATGTCTTCTCAAGTACTTATGAACTCTGCTTGAACTGTCTTGGTGAAAGGACGATGACTCGATTAATTTGTAGCACGTTAGGAGAGAGATGGCGTCGTGTGGTTACACAGAAACAGCACTTAGTCCGCAGTCTGGCTTTGCTAGGCTATGTTTTTTTTTTTTTTTTGCATGGGACTGTAATCTGGTTTTTATTTCCTCTGACGTTAAGTAGTTTTGGTACCTGTTTAAGGCAATATTTTGTCTCTGTAATAGACACTCAATTTTTTTTTTTTTTTGTTGGAGCTTCCCCTTTTCGTTAAGCTTTTCAGCCACATTTCACTGGAATTCTTTGGTATTAGCATGACTGTAGTTACCTCCCCCCCCCCCACCACCCCCCCCCCCCCCAACATATTTTCAAAACCGGTTTGTTAAAGGTGTGTTCAGGCTGTCCTGTCGGTAAGCTAGTGTGCAAACAAGCTCGAGAATATAAACATACATTTGTAGCTATATCTGTTGATATTATTAGAAATTCCATTTTTAGATACACCTACTTCCTCAAATGTGCTGGTGATAATTTTCATTGCAGTATGTTTTTTTCCCCTCCCCATTTCATGAGCTGAAATGCTATAGAAAGATTCTCAGAATATATTGGACAAAGAAGATGAGAAACATTGACATCTTAAAAGATCTGAAAATCAAGGAAGATTGGCTAATAAACAGCATCCTTATTCAAAAGCTGAAATATTTTGGTCATACCAAGCCCCACGACGGATTGGAAAAAAATTATAGCAGAAGGCATGGTACCAGGAAGGAGGGGCAGGGGCCGACCGACACGAAGATGGGCACAGGATATAAGTGACTCCTTGAATGTGAAAATGCATGAGACGGGAGAACTGGCGAGAGACCGAGTTTCTTTCAGGCAGACTGTGATGAGAGCGACGTTCTACAAAGGACCTGCTACATGATTATATATATATATATATATATATATATATATATATATATATATATATATATATATATATATATATATATATATATATATATATATATTGCCTTTGCTAATAGTTTAAAAAATGAATTTTTTATTTAATTTTAAATGAATTTTTGTTTGGAAATCTTCGAAGAGCAAACAAAAGAGCGTAATCTCTGGCTACAAAGGCGACAGCCACATGATCACTGGACAAAGAAAACTTTATAAAGACATGTGTAAGAATGTGTGAACAAAGAATTAGGCGTGGATAAGGAGAGGTGGGACATGTGAGAGGAAAAGAACGTCGTGTGTATTATTAGTAAGCTAGGGGAACAGCATCAACACCATCAGACATTTGCTGCGGAGACGGGGCATCTATGGGTATTCCCTGTGTTGATTCTTAAATCGTAATCAGTAATCTAAATTTTTGAAGGTTTCTAAACAAGATGAAACGATTATAGAAGAGATTATTATTTCACAGAATCAGGTTTTATCCTACATGATGCAGACCACACGTCGACGAGCATTGGTACATATCCTTGTTTCAAAACTTGTCTTTGTCGCGGCGCCTTTTTTCAATTAACATTTTTCTGCGGCGCCCTAGCCTAAGTAAAAGTATGACTATTCGTAAAAGTAAAAGGCCTTTAGGCGCATCGGGCATATGGAAAGAGCACCCATATTTTTACAGACCAATCGGCACTAGGTGGGTAATGTGGTCAGCATTACGCCAGCCGTCTTTACTTCCCCAGGACATAATCCTGGTACCCATTTTAGGCTGGGTCGACCTGCGACGCCCCGTACCATCATAACAATTCTCGCAGCCAAGCAGTAGGTTTCGATCGCAGTACGTTGGAATTACGAGACGGACTCGCAACGCCCGAGCCACGTAAACCGCATGACTATTCGTGTCTTAGTTAAATTAGGAATGAAGCTTTTACAATATTTCGCGGCGCCCTTGTGAAGAGGTCGCGGCTCGTCGGGGCGCCACAGCGCACAGTTTAGGAATCACTGGTCTATAGTGTTGAAATCCGCACACTGCAGAGCTCCCACGTAGTATTTTCTATGGGACCAACTTTACCAAATATTTCTTTTCGTTTGTGGATCGGAATTCCAGCTGGGAATCGATTCGTCCAATGGTATTTCATCCAGACGTCCGCGACATAGCAGACGTCCAATATCCTGAAGTGTTTTCTTGTTTGCATTGCACGTAGCGGTAAAATTCTAATTTAAAAATTCATTATAGGAAAATCTCGCTTTTGATCCACGTATATCCCCAACACGAACTAGAAGGCGAGATGCATTTCCCGTGAAGGCAATACATTAGCTACATTTTAAATTGATTACTATTCAGGTGGTTTCAGAAACCGGGGAGCGTAAATTATGTCGTTTGCTCGTCTTCTCACTACACAGATCGCATGTTAACAGATGATGATGGGTGGTCTTAAAGAGTCAGTGGCTCCTTCAGTCTTTATTCTTCTTGGTCGTTCCCTACCTCTTAGTGTTTCTACTTTTATATTGAGTTGAGCCAAGAATTAAGATCACAGCACTCGGGGCATTCCCATGCGTGCTCCATCCCCATCTTCAGCAGCCAGCGCAGAATTCCAGTACTGATGGTAGCTGTCACAATTTAGTTACATGTTCATCTTGCCTTTCTTCTGAGTGTAGTGAGCCCGCCAGACCCTCTGGTGACACCCAGGTGTTTTATTTTCTCCAGGCCATAATAATCTTGTTTCTCTATTGATTCTGTTGCTTGGTCCAAAAAGGCCTTGACAAAATCTGCCTTGTCATATATCAATTCACCACCCAGTGGTGCAGATACAGCCAATCTGTCTGCCTGTTCATTACCCACTACACAGTATGCTCACTACCCGTGACCTTGCAAGTGAAGCTTTATATTGTACACTCTCGCTGTTGGCATCGTTGAATTCATCCACATCAAATGGCTAAACCATTTCATTCTTAGTTTTTCAGTGTTTTTAATAATGGGTTGTTAAACCAAAAGACATGTAATCTGTAGACTTGACGCAACAGCTGATTCACTTAGGCTCTTCATGTACTTCAGTAGAACAATCTGTACTGCAGTAGCTTCCAGGTTACTGTGATTTCAACACAGCGGCTCTTTGTGAAGCTAAGGCATCTCAGTAAATATAAACTAATCAAAATATTATCTAGCTAAAGTTTAAGTTCTTTCTTAATATCCTACCCCAGATGACGTCACAGGACAGTCTAACATTTTAGGGGTTCGTAAGACTGGGTTTCCCGGCTTTCTGATGCTTTTAACAACCCCTAAAATTTGCCCTAACCCCAACCCACGAGAGAGTGCAGCCTAGGTCCCACGAAAGCCTGCAGCCTAGGTTCCACGACAGCCTGCATCCTGTCTACCACCCCTTAAATATTAGACTGTCCAGTGACCTGTGAACTCTCCTCGTTTGGGGTAGGATATTAATAAAGCACTAAAGTTTAATTTGCTTAGAACGTAATAACATCAGCGATATCTGTTGAATAATTTTTATTTGATGTTGCTGTGGACAACACAAGATGCTGTAAACGTTTCGCAGACAGCTCCAACTTCCAACGATGAATAACATATTTAATTATTGGGTAACAGGAGTTTCCATTTTCCAGAAAATTCTTTCTTGGCAATGAAACTTGTTGTGTTCTTCGCGAAGCAAAGGCTTTGTTCAATATCAATGATCTTTAACTGATGATTGCTGATTCTTGGCTGTTGATGGCAACCGTTCCCTGATTCCTGGCTGTCTCTCTTCAATAAGCGTGGTCCTTGACAAATAAGGACTTACCCGCTGCCATTCCTTCTAACCCTCCTTGGTATTTGCCCTGAGCTGCCAGTCCGTTTGCCTGAAGATGACAGACGTGTGGTCAACGAGTAGGAATCATTTTCAAGTTGTGGGAAGTATGAACTACGGCCTAGTTTACAAAGTATTGAGGGGCATAAGGCTCATATGAATTTGTCCCCCTTTTATCTGCCTGTTTATCTCATTCTTGCTCTCTCAACCTTTTCCACCCACTATTGTTTTTTTTTTTTATTTTATCATTTTTTTTTAAATACAGTGTATATTCTCTCTATCTATCTCTCCTCCCCCCCCCCTCCTTTATTTTTTGGTCTTCTTTCCTTTTTTTTTAATGTTACATTCCGCGTTCTCTCCTTCATTCTCTTAACATGATTTCTATTTTCCTCTGACCTTTTCTTACTGTTTATCTTTTTTTTTTTTTTATTTTGTTCCTATAATTTCTACTATGCTTTTCTGTTTCGCCATTTATGTTTCCTTCTCGCTATCTTTTTCTGTCTTTACTTTCTCGCGCCCTAAACGTTCTTTTTCTTTTTGCTTTTTCTTTTCAAACTGTCCAACCCCCTACACCCTCCCCCACTCCCTCTACACCACCACTTTTTTCCAAGACACACTCACACACACACACACACACACATTGACTAGGTTTATCTCTCTCACTTCCTTTTTACCTATAACTCATCCCCTCTCTCTTTTTTATGTCTTTCTTTATCAGTGTACCTCATTATCTTTCTCCCTCTGCTGTCCCCCCCCCTCCCATCCATCATTTTGCGTTGCTATCTTTTTATTCGGTATATGTGTCTGTGTGTGTGTATGTGTGTGTGTCCATCCTACTCTCTCTCTCTCTCTTTCTCTCTCTCTCTTTTTCTCTTTCTCTCTCTGTCAGTATGTGTCTCTTTCTGTCGCTCTCTACTCTTCCTATGATACTATATGTTATCTAAGGGTCAACCTTTTTTCTCGGTCATTCCCACGACAGAAGTAGTTGAAAAGGAGATGTTAGGAGATCATAAGTGGCACAGATTTATAAAGAAAAAAATGAAATAATCACCTAAATGTTAATAACAGTATCTTATATTGAATATGATATTTGTCCTATAGGGTACTCAATTATCCTGAAACATGTAACAGATTACTAACATTTTTAACTGAAATGCTGGAGAAATATTCTGAGAATACCATGCACCAAGAAGAAGAAAACACATCGACAACCGACATGATCTTAGCATCGAGGAGCATTGTCTCATAAACAGCACCCTGTCCCGGAAACTGAGGTATTTCGGCCATGTTGAAAGGCATGGCGGCTTGGAGACAACGGTGATGGAGGCTACAGTTTCCGGACAACAAGGCAGAGGCAGAGGGGAAAACAAGACATTGAAGACACATTGAATATGAAACCACATAGGGCTGTAGATTTGGTTAGTAAGAGACTTTCAGACGCGCCGTTCTGTACAGGACCAGCTGACAGATGAAGATGCCGGCGCCATGTTTGTGTAGATCAGTACATTAATGAATAGATCCTGTGACAGTACCATGTCAGCCATCATTACTTCCCATAACATTTGCTAGTACCCATTTGAGGCTCAGTCAGCATGGGAAATGAGATCAATTAATGCCAAGAAGAAAGCATGTGAAGGAGTAAAATAGTACACCGACTTTGTTTGGAGTTAAATCCATCGCACTAAATAAGCTTCTCCTTCTGGACCATCTGGCTAAGATCAAGGTGTAGCTCTACTGCACTGATGTGGCCAAGAGGACGGGGATAGGTCATAACCAAGTCATGGGTGAAACCCAGTCGGCATGAACCCTCTCTATAAAACTCTTACAGGGCGATTTCCCCGTTCAGTCTGGATTACCGACGTAATACCCAGTGAGAGAATACATCTTAATGTGGATTCAGTGAAGCCAATTTCATTTGTAAAATTTAATTTCAAACATTTCAATTCCATGAAATTATCTGGACATTTGATGCTAAACAAAGACATTTTAAAATTGATCAGGTCAACAAAAGAACATACATTGAAAACAATTTAAATAGAATTTGATGTTAGGAGGAGTGTCCTCATTTTGAAAGATCATAATATGGCAACCCTACCTTAACTCTCTTCAGGAGTTCGTCGTGAGCATGTTTCCTGTTCTCATCTTTACCCTGCCATGCCTGTAGCACACTGGCTTGTAGAGCACGTCCGAAGGAAAACGTTAGCGGCCACGGGCGCCGCAAAGGAACCTAGTCGAAAAATGACCATATACACAAATGGCATGGGTTAAACTGCAAAACTGTGCAAATATAAACAACTGGAACACACAGAGTACAGGTCGACGTAACAAAATTACAATGACAAACAAACGTGTTGCGATGATTCGAAGCATTTAGTTTAACCGACACCTTCTTCTTCTTAAAGTCGATGTCCTGTGGCGTTGGTAGTCATGTCGATCCACAACCTTCTTTCTCGTGTGCTTTCAATAAACTCTGACATAGATGATCCTTCATGCCATGATTTCAGACTGTCCAAAATTTTTCCTCTAGCTCTCTGTCTCTGTCTCTCCTCCTCTCCAAATTTCCCTGTGTCCCGATGTACTCCAGTTTTCTCCATATCATAACATGACCAAAGAATTTCGATTGTCGCCTTCTGATGTGGGCAATCAGTTTTCTTCGCGAGTCAGTTTTGTTACTCTTTTTCTGTTTGTCCAGGGTATTCCCGTCATTCATCTATAAAACCACACCTTCGCAGCTTTCAAAAAAGTTTTTACTAATTTACCAGCTGTCCATGATTTACTTCCGTATATCAATATAGGATTCACATAGCTTTTAAGAATTCTCTTTTCTCGTCCCAATTGACAAAGAAAGATTCCATAAAATATTCTTTCTATTGTAAAATGCTACCTTTTGTTCAAGCTATTCTATATTTAACGTCTTTAATACATCTCCCATCTGACGTTATCAAAGTACCTAAATATTTAAAACATATCAGCTTGCTTGAGGTTTGTTTAGTTTACTTTGATGTTGCATTTTAGGGTGTCCTTTTTTCTTTGTAATTACCATTACTTCTGATTTTCTGCAATTCAAACTAAGACCCTTTTTATCACTCTCCGTTACAATTATATCCATCATTTCTTGCAGCTGTGTTTAATTTTCAGCAATCACAACCATATCGTCAGCATATCACAGGTGGTTAACAAAATACCCACCAATCGATATTCCTGGCATACCATGTATGGAAATATTTCACCAATTTCATTTAATTTGCCTTAATTTTTTTTTTTCATGTTTTTACATAATGTCAGGGGAAAGCGTGGTCTCAAGGAATGGTGTCAGCCTCGAGTGCTGGAGGATCCGGGTTCAATCCCCGGTGAGGGCTGGGATTTTTTTTCACCTGGACCTGGACTTGGGCTTCTAGTAATTACCCTGGTCTCTGAGATCGAACACCCATGTGCATTGTCGTACGCGTAGAAAAAAAAATTCCTTTGGTTGCTGGAAATCAAAAAGAGTTGATTAACGGCGCTGCCCGGGCAAAATTTGGAGTTAAAAGTCTGCCCAAGTCTTTCAGGATCCTCGCCGGTGCTACAGAGCCTGTGCACCTTATTGAGCTTCTTCGGACTCAGCCGCACCATACCTCAAGACCACGCACCACCCCTCCCCCTTCCTTTCCACCTTCTTAGTTTAAGGGAAGAACCAACGCAAGGAACTTGGGGTAATGCCTGCATTTTCAGCAGCCAGCGGGAAGTCCCATAATTTGACAAGGGGAAATCCCTGATATCCCAGTTCAGGATAAACAATGAGATACGATTGTCTCCAAAGAAGGGTTGATACACTGACTGTAAGGGTAATGAACCTTGTTTTACGTCAGTGGGACTATTGGACTTGTTTACGTCCGTGGGACTAAGCCCTATTTCTAGGTCCGTGGGACTAAGGCATCTTTTAACGTCAGTGAAACTAATGCACCTTTTTAAGTCAGTGGAAGTATAGCACTTCTTTATGTCAGTGGGAATAAACCACCTTTTAACGTCAGTGGGACTATACCACCTTTATTACGTCATCTAGACGTAATCTACTTTATGTCAGTGGAACTAACGCATCTTCTTTATGTCAGTGGAACTAATGCATCTTCTTTATGTCAGTAGAACTAATGCACCTTCTTTGTGTCAGTGGAACTAACGCATTTTCTTTATGTCATGGGAACTAATGCATCTTTTATATGTCAGTGGAACCAACGCATCTTCTTTGTGTCAGTGGAACTAATGCATCTTTTATATGTCAGTGGAACCAACGCATCATCTTTGTGTCAGTGGAACTAATGCATCTACTTTATGACAGTGGAACTAATGCATCTTTTTTATGTCAGTGTAACTAATGCATCTTCTTTATGTCAGTGGAACTAATGCATCTTCTTTATGTCAGTGGAACTAATGCATCTTCTTTATGTCAGTGGAACTAACGCATCTTCTTTATGTCAGTGGAACTAACGCATCTTCTTTATGTCAGTGGAACTAACGCATCTTTTTTATGTCAGTGGAACTAATGCATCTTATTTATGTCAGTGGAACTAATGCATCTAATTTATGTCATTGGAACTAATGCATCTTTTTTATGTCAGTGGAACTAATGCATCTTTTTTATGTCAGTGGAACTAATGCATCTTCTTTATGTCAGTGGAACTAATGCATCTTATTTATGTCAGTGGAACTAATACATCTTCATTATGTCAGTGGGACTAATGCATCTACTTTATGTCAGTGGAACTAACGCATCTTCTTTATGTCAGTGGAACTAACGCATCTTCTTTATGTCAGTGGAACTAACGCATCTTATTTATGTCAGTGGAACTAATGCATCTAATTTATGTCATTGGAACTAATGCATCTTTTTTATGTCAGTGGAACTAATGCATCTTTTTTATGTCAGTGGAACTAATGCATCTTCTTTATGTCAGTGGAACTAATGCATCTTATTTATGTCAGTGGAACTAATGCATCTTCGTTATGTCAGTGGGACTAATGCATCTTCTTTATGTCAGTGGAACTAATGCATCTTCGTTAGTCAGTGGAACTAATGCATCTTCGTTATGTCAGTGGGACTAATGCATCTTATTTATGTCAGTGGAACTCATGCATCTTCTTTATGTCAGTGGAACTAATGCATCTTCTTTATGTCAGTGGAACTAATGCATCTTCTTTATGTCAGTGGAACTAATGCATCTTCTTTATGTCAGTGGAACTAATACATCTTCTTTATGTCAGTGGGAAATAGAACACAAAAATCTAGCCTCAGATTAGTATACACCAATCAGTACTTGGTTGGCTTTGAAGTCAATATCACGCTGACCGTCTACACTCTACAGAACATTACCTTGTACCCTGTTTAGTCTGGGTCGATCTGGGAGAGAAAGTCAAAAAATAATTAAAAAAAAAAAAATTAACACTTGATGCAGATTCTAACTCAAAATCTTCGGGCCTGCAAGCGAGTGTCTAACCGCTACGCTAAACTGAAGCTGTAATCGCACCTTATTGATGGCGTTGAGGTTGATGGTAGCGCTTTCTTCTCCTTGACCTCCAGACAGGAAGACAACCCCAGCTACAGCAGCCGGGACAGTTCGATATAAAGCTTGCACGGTGGCCATTGCGTTGTCTTCAGGACTGGACACAAACAATTAAAATGCGATTAAAGGCACGAGGATAACCCCCCCCCCTCCCCAACCCCACCCCCGGATTTCCCAAAACCCTCCATGTTTTCTTTTTGCCGGCGAGCCTGCTAGATTTCTAATTTTGCTAGCATCACACCAGTCACCTTTATGTCGAAGACAATTCTTCTTCTTCTTAAAGTCAATGCTGTGTGGAGTTGGTAGTCACGTCTTTCCACAACATTCTGTCTCGTGTACTTTCAGTCATCTCTGACACCGACGATCTTCCATGCCATGATGTCAAACGATCTAGATTCTGTTTTTTTCGGTCCGCCTCTGCCGCTCCTTCCCTCCAACTTTCATAATGTCATGATGTACCCCAGTTTCCTCCTTTGCCCGTTTGTTCTGAACCGCAGGTTACTTCTATCACGATCACGTTCAACATACGATTGGCAGTAAGCCGCCGACAGGCTCCGGTTCTATTTATGGTCTGGCCGTAATGTTTCTGTCTTCAATTACAGACTGCTCCTTTCTGCCTTGTCTTCGTGTGTTTCTTTATCCTTTGTCGTCCTGGCTTATAGTTCCCGGGTCATCCTCTGTCACCCAGTAGGTAAACAAAGATGACAACTGTAATGTAAGTGAACAATGATGATGATGATATAACAATGACCAGATGATGCAGCCAGTAAATATACGGTGTGATGTGCCTAGTGTGTGCTTCTGTTCCTCTCACAACTCATCCTTGTCTAGATCCTCAAGGTCCGCCTCGCTGACATCGTCATCCTCCACTTCCAGCACTCCATCTTTTCCATCTAATGGCTCGACTGTCTCTAGTTTGGGGCAGCTTGGCATTTTTTTTTTCTTACGGGAGCCGTTGATCCTTTACTTTAAGATAGGTCTCTTAAAAACTCATTTACTGCCACATTTACTTAAGGAGCCCTTTAGAAGTGAAAACTTCATTTTTCGAGAATTGACAGCTGCCGGTGAGTTGTCTTCAAGGCTGGACATAAACAATTAAAATGAGATTATTAGGCACCAGGATTGATTCCCTCGAGACGAAGTGGTCAAGCCATTTGTCTCACGCTCTGAAGATCGTGGGTTCGTATCACGGCTGTGTACTTCACTTCATGAGTGCAATTTTGCGGAGATCTCTGGAGATGTCGCCGGAGCTAGGAGTTCACTATGAGAGGCGCTTTCGGTAGACCGCTAGTCGTTCTCCTGAGAGAGACTGAGCCATGTGGGGTAAAACCTGGTGCAAAGAAGTCGATGCTCTCCACTTTAAATTTTAAATTGGTAAAGACTGACATTTTATTTTGTTCAAGTTGGTTGAAACCGATCGATGTGTTTTCCTTCAGGAAAGATGCAAGCAAGACGCCTTGAAAACACGGCCATCAGAACTATATAAAAGCGGGCTAGACGCTGCGCCACCCCAAACTTATCTTACATTTTTTTTTTTGTTCTTATGTATCTTCCGTTAGAAAGTACCCCCCCCCCCCCCCCCCCCCCCCCACAAAAAAAAAAAAAATTCTCGACCAGAAGGTTTGCTGCAATACCTTCACGTTGGCAGGAAACTGCACACGCGTAGCCACTAGACGATCACCTGCCTGCAGATTTTCTTCAGAACTGATCTCAGAGGTAGACCCAGCCTAATAATAGTACCAGATAATGTCTCAGGAAGTCAAGCTGGCTGATAGTAAAGTTCACCATATCTCCCCCGAAGCATCGCTTGGTCTACAAAAACAAATGTCACTCTAGCATAGTATCCATTAGCCACTGACATAAAAAGGGTCCTTGATTACTTGTCGCTACTACTAAATGAACAATGCGCCAAAGTTGTAAAGCAAAATCCTATTGTCAGACCCCAGTCTCTTCCATGTAATGACGCTCTTATCACTGCTCCAAAGCCACGAAAACGAGCTTTTTTCAAAACGGAAAAGCTAATTTTGTGCATCCACGGGCGGACTACAAGACTGTTTTACTAACCTCTAAACCACAGAAGATGTAGTAAATTAGTATTAACAGCAGCAGCAACAACAACAACAATCACAGCCGCAGAAGTAGTGGTGGTCGTAGTAGTAGTATTAGTATAGTAGTAGTGGTAGTAGTAGTAGTAGTAGTAGTAGTAGTAGTAGTAGTAGTAGTAGTAGTAGTAGTAGTAGTAGTAGTAGTAGTAGTAGTAGTAGTAGTTACAGTTGTTGTTGTTGTTGTTGTTGTTGTTGTTGTTGTAGAAGTAGTAGTAGTAATAGTAGTAGTAGTAGTAGTAGTAGTTACAGTTGTTGTTGTTGTTGTTGTTGTTGTTGTTGTTGTAGAAGTAGTAGTAGTAATAGTAGTAGTAATAGTAGTAGTAGCAGCAGCAGTAGCAGCAGCAGTAGTAGTAGTAGTAGTAGTAGTAGTAGTAGTAGTAGTAGTAGTAGTAGTAGTAGTAGTAGTAGCAGTAGAAGTAGTAGCAGTTGTTGTTGTTGTTGTAGAAGTAGTAGTAGTAATAGTAGTAGTAGCAGCAGCAGTAGTAGCAGCAGTAGTAGTAGCAGCAGTAGTAGTAGCAGCAGTAGTAGTAGCAGCAGTAGTAGTAGTAGTTGTTGTTGTTGTTAATGTAGATTCAATAGTCGTGAATGACATGCAATGCTTAACACTCATTTTACAGACCAGTAGAGTTATACGTTTGTCGTGTGGCCTGCAACATATCGGCAGCCTTAGCATCCTAGGATATGACCTGACACGCATTTCATGTTTGGTGGACCTGGAAGTCAACAGAGTACATGACCTTTCCCCATTCAACGTGGGTCATTAGAGCTCCTACCTGTTGTACCGTCCTTGGTAGCTCTGACCAGCTGTGACCATGTTAGGTTTTAGAAGTGTCCCCTCCAAGAACACGTGGTGGTCAGCAAGAGCTTTGTATTGGAATGCAAGCACTTCCTCTGTGATCTGGTCATTTGGGACAACAAATAGACACATCAGCAATAACGACCAGTGATTAGGGAGGACGATTAGGTGGCACGGGTAGTGAGCATACTTTAGATCTCTTATCCAGGTTATGCTAGCGTAGTGGGTAATGAACAAGCAAACAGACTGGCTGGATCTGCATCACTGGGTGATGAATTGATACATGACAAGGCAGATGTTGTCAAGGCCCTTTGGGAACAAGCAACGGAATCAGTAGAGAAACAAGATTATTATGGCATGGAGAGAATGAGGCACCTGGGTGTACCCAGAGGGTTCAGCCGGCTCACTACACTCAAAGGAAAGGCAAGACGGACAGATAACCAGATTGTAACCGGTGTTATCAGTACTGGAACTCTGCGCTGGCTGTTAAAGATGAGGACAGAGCACGCATGGGAATGCCTCGAGGGCTGTGATGTCAATTCCTAACTTAACTCAAACCAACTCAGCTAGGGAGGACGATCATCACAACACTCTGAACAGATCCATAGGGCTCCGATCTCATCCATAGTAGCTCCACAAGCGTAATGCAACCGACGACGGCTGTTCTGCGTTGATTACTCAAACTTTTTGTGTCTTTGGTGAAATGTTAATTCCTTGCGCTTCTGGGTTGCAATCAGACATTCATCAGCCTGGACATGAATGCCTCGTCATTCCTTTTTCCGCCTTCGACTTCGCGCTAAGAGCTACACAAGGCATGTTGACATCGTGTATATCCACTACTGAGCCAGTCATAGCACCAGCAGTGTCTGCCAGATTTTCAGCACTTTCGTTGCCTCGAACATCAGCATTGCCGGCACACACATGATAGTTATTTCTGCCTTCACTAAGTGCTTAGTGATACAATCCATTCTTGTCTGATGAACGCCATCTAGAGTATATCCTTCTTGAGTATTTTAGTTGACATTTTAAAAATAAAAAATAAAAATATATCTAATTGTCAGTTGATTTTTAACTCTTTCGGTAGAAATAAATCATCACTATAACTCTTCATACTCCCAACACAAGTTTCACTTTAAATTAACAAATATTTCTGACCCAGGAAGCGCGAGGTCTGATTAGGACTGCAGGAGTTAACAAAGGGGGCAAAATCATGAAGAGAAATGAAATCATAAGAGAAAAAGTGGGCACAAAACCATTTACAAATTACATAGAAAAACAGCAAATAAAATGAGTTGCCCGTTAAGACAGAATGACGTGTGACGCTCTACCATACAAGGCATGTGCCGAAAGAGGAGACGAACGTAGGGTAAAGGGTAGACCAAGAACAAGATGGAAAGATAACATCAGGGACACTATACAACAGCATGACGTGTCGTTGGTTGAGGTCGCAAAAAAGGCAAGAACCAAAACACTGTGTCACCCATGACGCCCAAAGAGGTGTAAGAAGCAAGCGAAGAAGAGAGATTGTAGAATATCTGGGACTGGGTTAACTAACATTAAACTTTGGAACAGAACCAAAGAAGAAAACAAAGCTAACGATCAGGGTGGAATGTAAAGCACAGATGCACTGCTGTAAAGGGTCGCTATTTTGTTATGGCAGGGCAGACTTGGCTGGCAATGGTCTTGGAGAGAAGCTCCGACATAAGAACATGTAGAGCAGTGCTTTTCTGATCTGGCAGCTTTTGCAGAATGCCTTGTTCCGAACGTAGTGGTGTTACCTTTCCTCTAGAGTAAACAATGCAGGTCGAGAGAGATCATGATGCATGGGCAACATATGGATGCTACAGTACTGCCCAGGCTTTGTGCTTTGGATTGTAAAAGACTTTTCTTAACGCGGTCAGGTCTTGCTAGTCACACTCGCCATCGACATGAGCTGTGAGTTCAATATAACACTATCATCTGGAAAGAAGGAAAGGTGCCAATCAATCAGTCAATCAATCAGTCGATCAATCAATCAAAGGGTCATTGTAGTCAACACATTTTTTTAAATATATGAGTATCTTAGATAAACTAGGAAGAGGATGACTTCCATACCCTTCTGGCAGTCTCCAGGTCGTGATCTCCATCAGGTAACACTTCGGGCTCCACAATGGGCACCAGACCCGACTGTTGACAGATGCTGGCGTACCTGGCTAGAACATTGGCATTCTCCAGCATTGCCTGTAGAACAGATTTATATTTGTGAACAACAGACACACGGTTTAACTAAAGTAAATATCAAAAGCGCCGGAACCTGGAAGCACATCGGCGACTGTTTCGCCCATTTGCTGGTCGGTAGACGACTTCGTCGTCGGTCAGGACAGTATTTGGGTCGGGGAGGGGGGGGGGTTTAAACCCCCTACGTATGGACGTTCACTTTTTGAGTATTTCTTTATACATACCACATGATATCAAAATTATTATAATATTTATCTGCAATTCGGCACATAATAATTATCATTACAGCGCACTTAAGCCCAAAGTATGCTCACTACCCGTGATCTTTCCAGTTAAGTTTGCCACTCTTCTCGAAGCATCCCTGTCTTCACCTTTCTCAGTTTGCTTTCAGAGTCTGTTACAATTATGACATGTGTATGCGTTTTCTACTCTAGCCACCGGAGAGCTGCAGTGGTGGTGGTGGAAGTAGTAGTAGTAGTAGTAGCAGTAGCAGTAGTAGTAATAGTAGTAGTAGTAGTAGTAGTAGTAGTAGTAGTAGTAGTAGTAGTAGTAGTAGTAGTAGTAGTAGTAGTAGTAGTAGTAGTAGTAGTAGTAGAAGTAGTAGTAGTAGTAGTAGTAGTAGTAGTAGTAGTAGTAGTAGTAGTAGTAGTAGTAGTAGTAGTAGTATTAGTAGCTTGCTTTCAGAGTCTGTTACAATTATGACATGTGTATGCGTTTTCTTCTCTAGCCACCGGAGAGCTGCAGTGGTGGTGGTGGAAGTAGTAGTAGTAGTAGTAGCAGTAGCAGTAGTAGTAATAATAATAATAGTAGTAGTAGTAGTAGCAGTAGTAGTAGTAGTAGTAGTAGTAGTAGTAGTAGTAGTAGTAATAGAAGTAGTAGTAGTAGTAGTAGTAGTAGTAGTAGTAGTAGTAGTAGTAGTAGTAGTAGTAGTAGTAGTAGTAGTAGTAGTAGTAGTAGTAGTAGTAGTAGTAGTAGTAGTAGTAGTAGTTGGAGTAGTAGTATGAAAAACAAGAAATCAACCGCAAAAACAATAAAAAGAGATGTGAAACTAATATTGATGAACTAACTTGGGCACCACAGCGTCCTACATTCAGAAGACATTCAAATATCATTGGTTTATGACCATTCATTAAAAAAAAGCTAAAACGTTTTTGAAAAGGGCACATTCAAGTTGGAAAGTAGATACACGCAGAAAAAACTTACTAAATAGGAAGGAGTGAATTTGGAAATCTTTAGAACGCATCTCCACTTGGCAAAATGAATGCCCATTGACTTGTACTCATCACATCGCTCCTTCAGTCCATCCAGCCCTGTCGTTGTACTTTCGCCGTGTGTGCCAGCAAGAGGTACAACTCCTTTGTCAACCTAGTAAAGCAAAAGTAAAGACCCCTTTGTAGATAAAGATGGAGGAACTAATAGAGATATTGAAATAAAAATACAAAAGGCAAGAGGAGCTTTCATAGCACTAGGGAATTTGTGGAGGTCAAAAGAAATTAAAATAAATCCTAAACTAAAGATTTTTAATTCTAATGTCAAATCAGTACTTTTGTATGGGGCGGAAACATGGAGAACAACTAAGGCAATTAAAAATAAATTACAGACATTCACTAATTGGTGCCTGCGCAAAATAGAGGGAATTAACTGGTATGATATAATTACTAATATAGAGCTTTGGGAGAGAACTAAACAGGCTCAAGCGGACCAAGAGGTGAGGAAAAGACGCTGGCGTTGGATAGGACACACATTGAGAAAACAGGAGAACAGCATCACTAGAATGTCGTTGCATTGGAACCCACAGGGGCATAGGAATAAAGGAAGGCCAAAAAAACACATGGAGAAGAGAGCTTGAGAATGAAGTTAGAAAGATGGGGAGGACATGGGGAGAGATCCATGCAATGGCGAAGGATAGAGCGACTTGGCGTGAGTTGGTTGAGGGCCTATGCTCCATTGGGGGATAGAAAGGCAGAAGAAGAATTATCCATTTTAACGTCTTGGGAGCATCGGACACCTGGGAAGAGAACTCCATATTTTTACAGACGAATCGGCACTGGGTGGGTCATGTGTTTAGCATTACGCCGACCGTCTTTACTTCCCCATGACATCCATCCTGGCACCCATTTTAGGCTGGGTCGACCTGCGACGGCGCATACCATGATAAAAATCCACGCAGCCAGCAGTGAGGTTCGATCGAGGTACATTGAAGTTACGAGTCGGACTCCAACGCCTAACCTGCTGTCCTACAAAGGTAAGATCGCCAGAGTGAATAAATAATCAATTACTGTATACGACGGACCTATAAAACTCTGTAGCTACAGCGACGTTCCTCCATTTACCCCAGAGTATCACTCTGGTAACCATTTCCTAGAGGCTGGGGGAAACTGGGGAACCGCCCGGTTTCGAATACCCACCGTGGCTGCAGCGAGTCGCAGCTGGAGTTGAAAGTGAGCCTCTTGTCGACTGCGCTAACGCAGCTCCTTAAGCACTGAGCACTGATAATGTCGGCCTGGGCCACTGCTTTTCCTATATCTACCGTGGCCCTGCCAGCAAGCCAATCCGCACGTTCATTCCCTCTTACCCCAAATGCCAATGCAAAACGTGCTTACCTTGATTCCAGGTATAATTCCTTTCCGTTCCAGACATTTAACAAACGGTGTCCCAAACGAATCGTACTGCCTAGCGGTCTCGTCAAACAGGATAACCCCAGAGACGTGCTCGGCCATGGCGTCTTCACATGAAAACAGCAGCTCTCGATATCGCCTCCTGTTGTCCTCTGTAATAGTAAGTCTAGTAAGTAAAGGACCCTTCTCCACTCATTTAGGCGTATAGGGCATTTAGGGCTAGACCTATATTTTTAAAGACCAATCAGCACAAGATGGATGATGTTGTCAGCATCACGCCGGCCGCCTTTACTTCCCGGGAATGCACCCGGTACCCACTCAAGGCTCTGTCAACCTGGGAGCCAAGGTCAATTTTGAAAAAAAGTTCGGCTCTACCAGGGAGTGAACCCACGACCTTCCGATCCGCGGCAATCGTCTAGCCGCTCCGCCACCATGACTCCCTCTGTAATACATACATTATTTCGTGTGGCAAAGAGATCTAGTAAAGTGCACGAACACAACAAATCGACAAGGCACTTGATAACGATGATGGTAATGATAATAAAGACGATGATGATAATGATGTTTATATTGATTATATCCTCACTATTCCTTCATTGTCTTTGGGAAGTAAAAGATCTACATATAGGCTCCACTACACTTAATGATGTACTGATGCATGTTAAGACTAATGAGGACACCGTCCTTGTCAAATATGCGACAAAGGGGAAGAACAATTATTTTATTATTGTCCAAGGAGGAGGATACAAAAGAAGAAACCAATCGGAACTTCATGGGCGATGTGCTCAGCATCACGCCGATTGCCTTTACTTCCTAGGATTTTGTCTCGTACCCATTAAAACTAGGTCGACCTGGGAACCAAGGCAAAACTGAAAAATGTCTGGCTCAGTCAGGATCCGAACCCACGATCATCCGATCCACAGACGAGACTCTAGCCGCTACACTACGGCAGCTCCTGTGCGTTGTTGTGATCCCATCGCACCCTCACCTGCTGCCTTTGCTTTGTGCATTTCCCTCTGATCGTTTGTATTTCCCAGTACACTAGCATTTGCCCAGCAAAGACAAATGAATAACGCTATAACAGAGCTACATCTGGAATGTTCCTAAATGAGGTCTCATTTTGTCTGCTGATGTTCCATCTTTGAAAGAATCTAATTTAGAATGCCGAATCCCTCCCCGTTACATTATATCCAAAAGTGTACTCCAGGGTACTAGATCAAATAAGCTTTTCCAGACCATTCTATCTGATTAAATCAAGTTCTTCACTGTCTGATTCTTCCGCTAGCTACAAATCACAATGTACCTATTGCATCCCCGATGATCCCCACCATTATGAAATCCAGATTGGTTTTCTTGCAACTTCGGTTCTCTTTTCCCGCCTATCATTTTTTTCGTAATGTTGAAAATAATGTTGTGATATCCGATGTGAAAACTGAAGTTGAGAAAGGTCAATGATATTATTCTGATGGAATGACATTCGTGTAATATGATCATTTGGCGGATCATTTGGCGATATTTCTATTTGTTAATGCTGTTATCAAGAAACATTAGTTTGAGGTTTGAGGTTTGAGGTTTCAACCATGCATCAACATCACGGCACACAGGTATTAACCCATAAGTGCTCCGTTCTTTTTTTTAACGCAAGTCTGAGTCCAAAGAAGCTCAGCATAGTGCACAGGATCTGTAGCATAGGCGGGAATCCTGAAATACTTTGGGTAGATTTTTCACTCCACATGTTGCCCGGGCAGCGCCGTTCGGCTACTCTTTTCAGTTTCCAACTGCTAGGGGATATTTTACGTGCGCAACACTGCACACGGAGGTCCAATCTCACTACCAAGAGACCAGGGGGAATTACTAGAAGTCCGTCCAAGAAGAAAAAAAAGATGGTTATGAAGGATTCCTCAAGCTGTTAGAAGCAAGTACAAGTTTATGTTGTACTGTAGCGGTCTATGGCTGAAATTAGAGCTATGACCACAGTGCTGGGATGTCAGTTCTGGATTCATTCATGCATTCATTTACTAGCTTAATTATTCTGTTATTCTTTTCGGCGTTCACCAGCTGTAAACTGGCGAAAAGTTCTTGTTGTTTATCCACTTCCCGACTGCAGTCCTGTTCCAGAACCTGAGTGTTGCGTGTGCATCTGTTTTACAGATCTGACTCACTTTTATGCAGACTGCAGGTTCTTTGCCTCTCAGGCAGATGCACTCCGACTTTGAAGGAAGCTCCCAGTCAGTCGACTCTTACGGTATGCTTTTGGGTAGGCAGTGGGTCTATTCTTGTTTTGGCTATAACAGGGCACCGGAATCCGCACGGGGGAGATTAATCAATAAATCCCTGCCTCACACACTTACTTATTTGCACACCATTCAATCAGTGGCTCACTTTCTTATTCACTCATGCATGTACACACACACACGCACACACACTTTCACAAACACATAATCACTCACTCAGCTACCGACTTTCACACCCACTCACCATCATGTGCACTTGTTGAACACACGGCACAACGCGCATGCAGAGCCACATACAACAATACAAGGCAGAATGTTGTCAGTGAATGTTTCCCTACAGCAGTTCATGTCTAATAGGATTTAAAGCCCCGTTTTCAGTTACAGGGCCCCTTTTTTGGGAACAATAATAGATCCACTCCCCCGCCCCCCCCCCAGCCCCCACTATATAAATTAAGTAAAGATCCCTTTTCCACGCCTTTAGGCGTATCAGCACAAGATGAGTGATGTGGTCAGCATCACGCCGGTGGCCTTTACTTTCTGGGACAGCATCCGGTGCCCACTCAAGTCTGGGTGGACCTGGTAGCCTAGGTAATTTTTGACTTTCTTCTTCCTCTTCTTCTTCTTCTTCTTATTGTTGTTGTTGTTGTTGTTGTTGTTGTTGTTGATGTTGTTCTTCTTCTTCTTCTTCTTCTTCTTTCGTTATAGGAGCGTTAGGGTTAACGTTAGAGCTACTCGGCGTTCATTAAAAAGTTAACACCCCTATATTATTGGACTTTACCAAGGATTTATGGGTTCTCCGTATTTGTGGTGAGCTAAAATGAAAGTACCGTTTGTTAGTTCTTAATAGGGTAGTTGCTGTCTTGTGGTTTAGTGCTAAGCTGCGATAACTCTTCCTTTCCATACAACATATCCATTATTACAACACTCGTTTACTTAGCCCTCAAACGATATGCTTGTTATTGGATATTGGATCTGTTATCCCCTCCCCCCCCCCCCCCCCCACCCCCTCAAAGGAGATACGGCGCCCACAATAGAAGTACCAGGCGCCAACCACTGGTTACTGCATTTGTGGCTCTTATAGTTTATATAATATAAAGGGCAAACTAACCGCTGTTCTCTACGTTTATTTCCTGCAGTCTCTTGCCACATGTTGAGATGGATTCATCGGCAGCTAGAATACCCTTTCCTGGTGCCACCAATCTCCTGGCAATGTCAGCTAGCTCGGCTTCTTGTTGAGGGCTTAAATAGTTGACGAACCTGGATGCCATTTTGGCAACGGGCACAATATCACATACGTCTGGAGCGAAACACATTGTGGGAGAGATCGCTTCACTGGGTTCATCAAGTATCGTGTGGTTCTTACTTCAGGAAAATCCCGTTGCTGTGCATTCAGTTATTTCTGTCAACTTCTTCTTCTTCTCTGCGTTCGACATCAGTCATGCTAAACATTGAGTCCCATCTGGGTCACAAATAGGATTGTGCGTTTAAGGTCGCCACCGGTCGCCCATAGCTTCTCTTGCAATGTGGCTCCCTTGGGCCAGATCCACAGTCTTTGCTGGGAGAGGTAAGGGCAGTACTGTAGTATGTGCCCAGGGGTCTGTCTTTCTGCTCCACAATCATAGGCAGCAGATTCTTGTATGCCTATCCTGTACAGGTGTGCTCGAAGAAGACAGTGTCCAGTCCGAATTCTAAAAATTGTTGTTTGTTCTTTCTTGTTGAGTTTGTTTATGCTGTCACTCTCTGGTCTGTAATCTCCATTCTGCCTTCTCCACTCCCGCTTGAAAGACTGCTTTAGCGCTGTTTTGGTTTCCTAGTAGCTGTGTGGTGGATGAGGTTGTGGAAGATTACTCCCAGCTTTTGCCAACTCATTTGTTCTCTCATTTCCTTGAATACCTCAGTGGGCTGGTATCCACTGCAAGACCAGTTCTGCTTCCTTGGAGAGTAAGCCAATGTTAGTCCTTAGATCTGCAATTAGTTTGTCTTGTTTTTTGCTTGATAGTGCTTGGAGAACAGACAATGAGTCACTAAGTATAAAAATTTTGTGCCCTCTGTGTTCTTGATTGATGAGATGTTGGACTGCAGAAAGGAGGGCAGTTGCCTCAGCTCTGAAGTTAGTGCAGATGTCACCTGCTGGTTGAGAGAGAGAGTTTCTGCTCTACTGCTAGGGGGTTTAATGTATATTCCACAACTTCCCTTTCTGACTGCATCTGTAGCAGAGCCGTCGGTGAAAACCTGAGTCCAAGTGGTGTTTGGATACTTCTCATCAAGCATAGCAAGAGCCAGGGTTCTCTGTTGTGTCTCCGTCTGGGCATCTTTGAAGTGATCCCTGGTACCTTTAGGACTACATTTGCCTTCTGTCAACTGTTCATTGTTCATTTAAAGATAATCTTCTTCTTTTTCTTCTTCTTCTTCTTCTTCTTCTTCTTCTTCTTCTTCTTCTTCTTCTTCTTCTTCTTCTTCTTCTTCTTCTTCTTCTTCTTCTTCTTCTTCTTCTTCTTCTTCTTCTTCTTCTTCTTCTTCTTCTTCTTCTTCTTCTTCTTCTTCTTCTTCTTCTTCTTCTTCTCCTTTTTTCCCCACCTTGTACCTCATCGAAAGGGGGAAAAGGGGGGGGGGGTGGGAGGTTTGTAACGTTCGTTAGTGAGCTCTGTCAAGAGAACTATTAAGACTGATGTTCATTTCTGTAAGGCTGTTCTTAAGGCCATCAGCTCATCTTTTCCACTCGGTCTATACCCGTTGTAACGTTTTAGTGTGGCATGCGGTGGCAGATAGTACCAGGGCATTCTTGTTAGTTGTCAAAACTACTTCATTCTTTGTTCTTTATTGACCTTTAAGACTGCCTTTATTCTGTATTACTAGCATTCGTCTGATTTCGTGATTTCGTATTCTGTCTTTCTATGAAACTCCTGCTGCTCTTCTAAGGCATTTCATCTCTGTTGTAACAATTTTACGTTCATTGGAGGATGTAAGTGTCCGCGTGGCATTGATAGCATAGTTTTGGCCAAAAAATAGTTCTAAGATTCACATTAGTACTCCGGGGAATCTACTTGTGTGTCAACAGGGGAGATAGTTGCCCCATTACATGATTAGCTTTGGTACCTCTCGACCTAATTTTTCTGTCCAATATAATCTTCATCCCACATATAAAATGACCATAAGTGCTCCGATCTCCTCCTGAATATGATTTCTGTTAAGATTCCATTAACAGGCGCAACAGAAAACAAGATACAGTAATTTTCCGTCTAGGAACAGGACACTGCAGGCGCAATTACCACTTGCATCCAGTGCCAGCTTTGTAACTACCCCTACGAAACTGTTTAACATCAACTTTTTGAGTGTCCAGAACTCAACGAGACTAGAAGAATGCTACTCCCCCGAGACTAGAAAAGTGGAACACCTTGTAAAGAGGAAAAGAACAGCTTGTGAAAACATGCAAATTCCACTACACGGCATAGGGCGAAAGCTCATGCGCCGTGGAATTGATAACAACAACAACAACAACAACCACTTGCATGAAATAAGGTATGTACAGTCCTCGCAGTGAGCACGTCAAATGGGACCACATACATGTGAGCGAATTCTGCAGACCTGGTCACTATAATAACAAGAAGACCTCTACAGCGGGAGCATTCTCAACAGGAGACTACCGATCATCAGTAGGTGGGTCCATCGTTAACTCTATAGCTAACTCTATAAAACACCTCAAAACTCTACGACATGGCCATCGGCGGGTAAGAGGCGCCATAACCTCTCCCCCTGCTGCCTTGCAGGGTAAGTCTCTTTAGACAAAGGCTATTGGAGTCAAACCATATACAAACCGGCGGAAGTCAAGGGGAAACCTCTGCTGTACTATCCCCAGTAAATCATGCCTCAAAATAATATGAATTCAGATAACGACGTGAATGGGGATTCCAGTGGAATCACCTCGTCCGGTAGGGAGCATCTTGTTCTATGGGTGATACCCGACCGTCATCCAGCTACTGTAGAAAAAGTAAATGGTAGAAACATCCTGAACATTGGAACATGGAATGTCAGAACACTCGCACAAAACGGAAAGCTGGATAACATCAAGCTGGAAACGAAGAGAATGAACATTGACATATTAGGAATTTTGAATTGCGATGGCCAGGAGCAGGGGAAAAGTATTCAGATCAGCATATAATTATTTACTCGGGTGGAAAGGAAAATAGAAAGGGGGTTGGTATTATTTTGGATCAGAAGAATTCAAAAACTGTGAAAGGATTTTGGACAATGTCAGATAGAGTACCTTTTTAAAACTTCGCGGCAAACCGTTTGACATCAACTTAGTACAGATGTATGCCCCAACAGCAGATAGTTCAGAGGAAGATATTGACGCATTTAATGACGAGTTAGAGATGGCTGTTGATCAATGCAAAAATTGTGAAGTAACAATGGTACTTGGCGATTTCAACGCGAAAATAGGAAGTGAAAAAGTGTACGGAATAACGGGTGGCTATGGCCTAGGATAAAAGGATGTGAGAGGTGACAGATTAATAGCATGAGCTGAGTCGCGCAGCATGATAATAGGTAACACATGGTTTAAACACCATCCTCGAAGATTGTGGACTTGGAAAAGTCCTGGTGATAATGTCCGCAATCAGACTGATTATGTTTTGATTTCAAGAAGATTCCGGAGCAGCTTAGTTGGAGCAAAAACTAGACCAGGAGCAGACTGCTTTAGTGACCATGTTCCAGTCGTAGAACAAATTTGAAAAAAACTAAAAAAAATTAGAAAAATACCACAGAACATCAAGTTAAATTTAGGAATTCTTAGAACGGATAAAGAAATTAAGGAACAGTACAATGTCACTGTACAAAACCGGTATAATGCAATGGAAATATACAGACTATTGATGAACAGTGGGATATGTTGCGAGAGTCAATTCAGCAGACATCAAAAGAGACAATCCCACCAGCCCATAGAGTTGCAAAAAAAGAAATGGATGTCAACAGAAATTCTGCAATTGGTGGAAGAAAGAAGACTGTGTGAAGCACGAAGAAATAATCAAATTGTTAGGTAAATTAAACATTGATGGGAAAGATCTACGAATAATAAAGAATATGTATTAGCAGCAAACAGCAGCTATAAAAATTAACCACTGTTTAGGTACATTTCAAAGCATAAAGAGGGGAATATGAATTCAGATAACGACGTGAATGGGGATTCCAGTGGAATCACCTTTTGATCCAAAAATTAACCACTGTTTAGGTACATTTCAAAGCATAAAGAGTGGCTTACTACAAGGATATGTACTGTCACCTAATTTGTTTTCAAAATACAGTGAATATATAATGAGATCTTTAATTGATATGCCCGGAATTGTGGTTGAAGGGCACAATATAAACAATTTACGTTATGATGATGACACAGTCTTGATAGCAACAAGTCAGGAAGAACTACAGGAAGTGATAGACATTGTGCTGTCAGAAAGTGGAAGAATGGGCCTCAGTTTGAATAATGGGAAGAATGAAGTGGTATCAAAGAAACAAATTATTCCTAAATGTGTAATAAAAGTCGATGGTGTTATTTTAGGACAAGTACATAAATTTAAGTATCTGGGCACACGGATAACATCAGATGGAAGATGCATAACTGAGATAAGAAACAGAATAGGACAGGCAAAAACTGCATTTTATAAAATAAAAAACATCTTGTGCAATATATCCTTGTCATTGAGAGTTAGAAAAATAATTCTTGCTTGCTAGATACATCCAGTTTTAACATATGGCTGTGAATCCTGGACAGTCGGAAGGCAGGCCAAACAATTTCTTGAGGCCTCAGAGATGTGGTTTTACAGAAGAATGCTTAGAATTTCTTGGACAGCCAAAAAGAGCAACCAAGAGGTTTTGGAAGAGGCGGGAGCCCGAAGACAACTTATCACAGACATCAGAAGGCCATGTTATGAGAAGAGGGAAAATAGAACATGTTGAGACCATTGGAAAGATCTGTGGAAGGAGATAGAGGAAGACAACGAGAGAAGATGCTTGACAGTCTTGTTGCATGGCATGGAGGTGTGTCGGCACACGAACTGATACATGCTGCAGGAGATCGCAGATTATGGAGAGGCATGATCTCCCACGCCAGTCGGCAAAGCACCTGATGATGATGATGATGGGTCCATCATCGACAGTTGTTCAGGCGTGTTATCATCCTAGACATTCACAAAGGACGGGCCGGCCTGGATCATGACGACAGGCCTCGGACATCTCCTGCTGGGCTTATTGGACAATCGGACAAGACAAAATGTTGGTTTTGCAATAGGTACTGAGGCTAAGGTGATATTTATTTTCGCTG